GTGTAGTCAAGTTCAGGAAGGGCAACACTACTGTTTTTCTGCAACCTTCTTCACCTCCAGATATAGAATCTGGCAGTTCCGAAGCAACAGAATGCCCAGGGCACTAAAGTTCATGACAGGGTTATTTTGGAGTTTGAACACATCCCCAGGGCAGAAATGCCTGATGGAGCCTCAGAATCAAATACTGGGCCGCAGTAGTCTAATGAGACAGACCTCCTTCAGTCACTCTGGCAGAAGGTCGTAACGGTCTCTCTGTCAACAGAGCCAAGCTGACAGATGTGAAAGAGCTCACTATAAAACATGACACAATTCAACATGTGAATTTCTGACTTCTGTTACCAAACAGTCTAGGACCCAATGGAGTGCTGGTAAATACTTAACATCCGGTTCTCTAGAAGAATTGGTAAAAAGCAAGCTCTGATTTACATCATTTGCGTATTTCTGTGGTATAGAAGCACTAAATACTTCTGCTGTGATTTCAGGCTACCTTTATGATCTCACTGAATGTGGAGTTGGGAAGGGATGTGTACAATCAGCTCCCACCAGCCAGGGCTGGCTGCAGCCTCCCCTGCTGGGAACCCTACCCCAGCCCAGCAGGCAGCATTAAGCATGGAAGAACAAAATTTATGTTCACCCATCATGCCTAGCAGAGCCCCTCCTTTAAAATGTATGTGTATCCAGACTCTCTTATTTGTCTCTACCTGGTTCTTGCCTCAGATCATCACATTCTTACCCTCCACGAGGATACTTCTGCTGATGGAACTGTGAGATCATCCCCTGCTTGGGAAGGCTCTCCCCTAATTTTGTGATCTTGGACACAGTCCCTCGATCCCGTAGGCACTAAGCCCGAGGCTTCTGGAGGAAAGCTTTTCAGGAGGATGCTCTTGATCCCTGTGAATGGTCGGAAGAAGCACATCACCCTCGTGAGAAGTTTGGAAGCCAATGAGTCCCATCCTCTGGGGGTGTGCACTGTTCCTCTCTATTATTATCCACCCCATGTCCCCTCCTCAGTGAGTCAGACTTCCAGAAGGGACAAGGATCTTGTCTTCTCTGAACTACCATCTTTTTTTTTTTTAATTCCACAAGTTGCTCAATATAGGCCTGTTTTTTAACCTCAATCAGTAATAAATTCTAATATCTTGTTCCCCTAATGCAGCCATTCAGAACTGTCCTGATGCATTGAGCCTCTATTAATATAGGTTAAGATATTTCGTAAGTTTTATCTGACATATTTAAGAGGATATAACATCAATATGTGTACAATATATATACATTTGTATTTGTATATTTATGTGTGCTGTTTTTGTGTATTCATATTTTTGTATTTTGTATTCTTTATTTGTATATATTGTATATATTTGTGTTTTATATGTATACTATAGCATTTATTTACTTGTGTGTTGCATATACACTAGATGTGTATTGTATATATACCATATGTAAACAACCTACATACTCTTACAACCATATCAGCACGAAAAACTCAAGTTTGAAAATGGAGTCTATGGTCCCACTCTCACTAGTGACCTAATTAACAGAAACCACAGGCTTCTTTCTCTCAAATTCCTGGGGTCCTTATGGCTTCTAGGCTGATGTTTGTATATGCATCAGCAATTCTTTCTCATCATACCTCCCTTCTCATTTCTTATCAAACAGATTCTTAAGCTGAAGACTAGACCCCTTAAGGAGGCCTGAGACTCCTCCTGACTGTCCTTCTCCACATTAAACTCTCTATAATATGGTTGGATTCAGAAACAATCCCATTAAGTACATGTCCCTAACTGATACTACAGGTCTTTTTTTTTTTTCTTTTCCTCGTAACATCTTCATACTCCACCACCCAAAATATGAGGTTTCAATACCAGGAAGCTTACAACACAACCTGGTCTCTTTGTCTCCTCCAAGCTACCAACCCAAAGATCCAATGAGAACCAGAGGATGGATTGGATCTTCCCTATGAATCTTGCATATGAAGTCTCCATCTCCAGAAACTCTCCAATTTTCTAATGTCCTCTGGATTTGAAGTAAGTAACCGAAGAACCCATCATCCAAATCGGGGCCCCGTGAAAACTGAAATAAGGCACTGAAAGTAAATAACATGTACAACATGTACAAACTGGGACTCTCCTAAGAGACATTCAGTCTCCTGAATTACCCCCTTTCACTCCATGTACTACCTTTGGTTGTAACCTCATTCAGAAAATTTCTGCTGGGATCAGCCTGATTGGTTCACCCAGGAAAGAAGAATCCTGGCTCTTTAGGTCCAACTTCTATTTTTGAACTTTGTGCTCCCTCAGGGACTCTAATACTGCTGCTTTCTATCTCTACAATTCCTCTTTTGATCGTTCATGCCATCATAGAATAGTCATAAAGTCAAGGCATACCTTCTACCCCTGCCCTTTCTATATCTCTGCCTATCCCAGAGTGCCAATTCCACCATGGAAACATGTTTCAAAAGCACAGAAATGTTGATGACTACAATCCTGAGTTCCACTGTAGAAGTACCAGGAACTGTCCTTTCTGGAAAAGTCAAGGGAAGAGGAGGATTTGCAATTAATGACATGAAAAAGACAACGGAAGAAGCATTTTTGTTAACAAAGATCTGGAGTTTAGTTTCGGAAATGTCAGGAGATGAGTGAGATCTAAGCTTGGGAGTTAAGAAAACATAGAGGGTTTTTAAATTCATAAAAATACTGGATAATATGTAAGACTGGGTTCAGTATGCAAAAATCAATCAATGTCATCCATCACAGCAATAAATTAAAGAAGAAAAATCCTATGGTCCTATAAATAAATGCAGAAAACACATATGACAAAATCCAACGCTCATGAGACAAATTCTCATGATAAAAATGGTAACTAGAAACAGAGGGGAATTTCCTCAACTTTATAAACAACATCCACACACACAAAAAGTTTCACACCTATCATCATACTTAATGATGATAAACTAGGTGCCTGTACCCTAAATTTGGGAACAAAGCAAGGATGCCTCTTCTCATCACTCCTATCCATCATAATGGAAAGTCCTAGCTAACGTATTAAGACAAGAAAAAGAAATACAATGGACACAGACTGGGAAGAAGAAATAAAACTGTCTTTGTTCACAAATGACATGACTGTCCATGTAGGAAATCCTAAAAATTTAACAATAAGAACACAAAAACAAATATAAATCTCATGGAACTATTAATTACAGTGAAGACACTGGATACAAGGCTAGTATACCAAATTATAAATACTTACATGTAAATAGCTTTTCCATCTATCAGTGATGAATAGTTGGAATATGAAATTAAAAACATAGTGTCATTTACATTAGCACTACCAAATTAAATACCTAGGTACAAGTCTAACAAAATATGTATAAGATCTATATGTAGAAACATATAAAACTCTGATGAAAACAACAAAGAATGAAATAAATGGAGAGATATGCTATATTCATGTATAGAAAGGCTCAATATTGTTAAGATGCTAATCCTCTCCAAATGAATATACAGATTCAATGTAATGACAATCAAAATCCCAGTAAATTATTTTGTAGATATTATCAAACTGATTTTAATGGGGGGGGGGGGAGGGCCAGTATAGCTAACATAATACTGGAGGAAAAGAACAAAAATCAGAGGACTGATGATGCTACCTGATATCAAGAATTACTGTAATTCTTGGGGTGCCTGGGTGGCTTAGTCAGTTAAGCGTCCGACTTTAGCTTAGGTCATGATCTCACATTTCCTGGGTTCGAGCCCCACATCAGGCTATGTGCTGAATGCCAGCTCAGGGCCTGGAGCCTGTTTCAAAGTCTGTGTCTCCCTCTCTCTCTGACCCTTCCCTGCTCACGCTGTCTCTCTCTCTCACCTAGAAATAAATAAAACATTAAAAAAAAAAAAAGAATTACTGTAATTCTACAGTGGTCAAGAGAGCATGGTATTAGTAAAGTAATAGATAAACTGATCAATGGAACAAAATAGAAAGCCCAGAAATCAATAGGCACAAATATAGTCAACTGATCTTTAACAAATGAGCAAATGGAATCCATTGGAGGAAAGCTCGTCTTTTCAACAAATGGTGCTCAAACAATTAGACATCCATATGCAAGCAAAAAATAAGAAAAAGAAGAATTTAGAAACAACCCTCATACCGTTCACACAGTTTAATTCAAAATAGGTCAGAAAATAGACCTAAATGTAGAATTTAAAACTATAAAAATTCTAGAGGATAGCACAGGGAGAAACCTAGGTGACCTTGGGTTTGGAGATAAGCTTTTTGATACAATACCAAAAACCTATCTATGAAAATAAGAACACGAATAATAAGTTGTACTTCATTAACATTAAACATATATGCTCTGTAAAAATAAAAGGTCAGACTGGGAGAAAATATTTGTAAACCACATATCTGATAAAGGAGTGGTATGTAAAATATATGAAGAGCTCTTTAAACTCAACAATAAGTAGTAGTACTTGGAAAGGTCACTTGACAGACATGGATATGGAAAAATCAGCAAGAAGTGGTACTCTTCCCGTGGCAGAAACTGGGAGGTGAGCAGACTTGCTCATGTGAAAGCTATTAGTGTAGATACATTCAACTCCTGACAGGTGCCATTTCTGTCACACGAGTTTCAGAATCCCTGTGGCTTGACTGCTGAGAAGTAGATATATTTTGCCTTGTGTGCTGTGCACCTCAGGAGCCAGCAAAAATGATGACACATTTCACAGGGGAACAGGACCAGGATCAAGGTTATGGAATTCAACAAATATGAACTGTCAGATGCTGGAGGATTGGCTTAGTAGTAGAGACCTAAGGGTCAAAATACTCAAGTTTCCCTGGAAGCAGAGATTCCAATCTCAAAAGCTTCAACTCAGTCCTTCACCCTTTGAAGGCAGATAAATTGGGTAGCACAAAATTGATTGGCTAAGGTCTTTGAGATGACACCTTAAGACCAAAAGCTCCATCTGCTTTCTCAGGACATCAGGTAATTCGTGGCTTTTTTTTAGGAACAAGACTTGACGATAAAAGACTTGGCCAAACAAATGGAGACATCGATTTTCCTCTGGAAAGTATTCGCATGTAAGTCAGCCTACAAAAGCAAGCAGAGAGCTCAGTAATATGGTATCAAAGCAAAGAAGTTCTATATTGCTGTCTAGCTCAATAAAGCATTATCTTTGTGTGTATGTGTGTGTGCGCGCGTGTGCATTTGTGCATGAGCACACACACATATTTCATGCGGAGCAAAATGTCAACCCTGAACAAGGGAAATGTTTTCTTCCTTTTTTAAGGTAGGACAAACAGGACTTCAAGAAACAAATCACCTTAGATATTTCCAGAGTTACTACTACCATACTCCTCTCATAATTCACTGGAGGCAGGTGTCAAACAGATTTAGTTGTCCTAGTTATTTTTTAACATGGTCTTAAAGGACAATGATCAAATGAGGCAAATCCATAGTCTATAATGAATGTAATTAAGAGAATCAGGAATTCCAACGGCTTGCATAGGCATCATATCAGATTAATATAAAACTGAACACATCTGGGGCACCTGGGTGGCTCAGTCAGTTGAGCGTACAATTTAGGCTCAGGTCACGATCTCATAGTTCGTGAGTTCAAGTCCCACATCACGCTTGCTGCTGGAAGCACAGAGCCTGCTTTGGACCTTCTGTCCCCCTATCTCTACCCCTCCCCAAATTGTGCTCTCTCAAAAATAAACATTAAAAATAAAGTGATCACAACCAATTAATCATTGTCACAAGTTTTCCAAAGCTTGAAAAACAAGTTCAAAACATGGAAATAGACAAATGTATCACCAGGTTATTAAGCAAATGTTGCACTTAGAAAATATACTGGGTATTAGGCAAAAATACAGGTATAAGCAATTGCTGAGTTTGAGCATCAGAAAAATATTACAGACTGCAGAGAGGAAATTGTAAGCAACAATGGCTTATCTTGCACATGGGTTTGCGCATGTTTTGAAATGCATTACTAGACATGAACGAGCATACCATCTATGCAGACCCTTTCATGAATTCTGTGATAAAAATTGAAAAAGGTTTCCAAGTAGGGCACAGCTTCAGACCTATAAAATCATTGACAAGTTAATGAGTATTTTTAATGATGTCGAGTGTAGCTGTCTTCTTCCAAAATTCCTGGTCTAGAAAAGTCTATCATGTACTCCTGCACATTCTTCAATGAAAACATTTTTCCCCAACAAAGGAGGATTAAATGCTGGCCCAGGTTCAGTGCTAAGTGACCAGTTAAGGATACTCTGCCTTCCTTCCATGTACTAATTTATATCTGGCAATGATAACTGAATTCACAGTTTATAGATTAAATGTCAGCTATGAAAGTTTAGATCTGTCAGAAGTGGTGCTTATTGCCATATTATACAGTTTTTATGAGACCAATAAGTGTAGTTTGTATGGGAGGAAAAGCATTTGGAGATGATTAAATATGAAAACATCTTGCCAGACTGAGAATGATGAATATATTTTTATCCTTAGTCATATGTAACTATTCAAGGTATTAGTTGTGACCATGTTCCATTGTTCTCCTGTGCTCTCATATGGGTTCTAAATTAGAGCTAAGGAAATTTGGCAGGGACTGGAGTCCCTATTTTAAGATAAAATAAGATTTGGTTCTATCCTTGCAAGCAATGCTGTGCTTCTTAGTCCTTAATTCTTTATTTTTCAGATGTTAGCTCGCTACTCCCATCATGACGCTCGGAGAGCTAAAACTCCCCTTGATGTATTATGATTGAAGGGTCCTGAACTAGGGAAAGAGAAAGGAATTAAACAAAGTGTTGACTGAATAGGACATTCACTGGAGTGTCCTGAGAAGCAACATTTTCAGGCAAGGTGGAGAAGGGATTTTATGCCCTCCAGTTACATTTTTTAAATCTAGATGGAATGCTTAACTCTGTTCTGTTAGTACATAGTTCTCAGTTGGTGGTAGAGATGGACACAAAGAGAATACAACACTCTGTAATCACTGATTGTCTTTAGTTTACATTTTCGCTAAAAGCCAACTTATTTTCCCAACATCTGTGAAGTGATAGCACGGCAATATTAATCCACATGGTATGAACATGAAACTAAAAATGACAGCATTGATGGAATTAAGCTGAAATTGAAAACACATTTTGGACCTTCCAAGCCCCTTGCCTGTTCTTTCAACCGAACAGTCAAAGTAAGTTATTCTTTGGCTCCATGTCAAGTAACTTTATATACATTCTGAGGGAGCAAAGATGAGTTATTTGAATTGGCCTTTTAAAAAATTCACTGATTAAACACTCAGAGCAATGCCAATTCTGTGTCCTAGAATATACCCCTAGCCCCAGGCTGAGCTAGTAGCATTACTCAAACCTTCTTGCTTCTGAGATGATAGTTGATCCATCTCACAGCAAACTGTCATCAGTTAACTATCACTGGCATTGCCCATCTCAAAGTTGCATATTAATGAAAATTTTGGCATTCATAGATCAACATTATCACAGTGCTGTTATTAGCCAAATTTGAATCACTTTGAGAAATGTAATACTTGCTTAATAAAACATTAATTGCAGCTTCAACTTTTTCTAAAATTCTATATCATCAGGCTCTTGAAGGGTGACTTCTCTGATAGCAGCCAATTCTTCAATCCGTGGACACCAAAAGGGTATCTAACAGTTGAATTCAATGAGGATACTACTCACAGAGCAGACCTGACTGGTTAAGAATCTGTCCCACAAGGCTGCTCCCACTTCAGGTGCCTGTCACAGGACCAGGGCCACATTCTGACCCACTGGTGTTAAATGGGAGGTGCCCATGACCCTGTTCGCAAGTTCAATACTTCGTTAGGAGGGCCTACAAAACTCAGGAAGACATGTTACTTGTGCTTACTGCTTTATAATAAAGGGCGCAAATAAAGAACCAGATGAAGAGATACATAGCGTGAGATCTGGAAAGATCCAGTGACTTCTGTCTCTGTGGAGTTCTATGAATCACCCTTTTGGCACATGGATGTGTTCATCAATTCAGAAACTCATAAAATCTCACTCCAACGTTCTTTCGGAGCTTAATCCAAATCCCCCTCCCCACCTCCTGGAGGTAGGTGAATGGGATTGGAAGTTCCAACTCTTGCATCACTTGGACTTTCTGGTGACCAGCCCCACCCTGAGACTACCTAGGAATGGTACCTTTAGTCATCTCATTAATGTAAGCTCAGGTGTGATCAAAAATGTCTCCTTATCAATAACAAAAGATACTTCTACCTCAGAAAATTCCAAAGGTTTTAGAATGTCTGAGCCAGGGACAGAGACTTAAGGTATTTTTATTTCTTATTCTACCACAGATATTCATTTAGTAACTATTCATTTAACAGAAAGAATAGTTATAAAACTATATATATATACACCTATATATATATACACACACACACACACACACACACATATATATATACACACACACACACACCTATATATATATATATATATGTGGGGAAAACCAATACAGTAATTCCCCTCAACCTGCTGAATTCTAGTGGTAGAGAGAACTCACATGAGTCAAATTAGCTCAGTGGGAGAAAAGAGAAAGCAACAAGTGTGTCATCAGAGGTGTGAAGGAAACGAAGAGGTGTACAGTAGCTTGATTGGTTCCCCAAAGGCTGTGGAGTTGGGGAAGTCTTCCTCAGGAAGATAGCTTTGAGCTGAGTTCATCAGACTGAGAGATTAAGGAGGAGATGGCCAAAAGTCAGTCTGAAGAGGAGTTTGAGCCGCGAACAGTAAAGATGTGGTTTTCTGAAAATGACCCAAGCATTGTTTCTTCAAATACGACATCTTCTTTAGTGTTATCATAGATCTTTTTACCATTACTCTGACACTAAATAACTTTAATAGTATCAACAGTCACATCTTACTTACAAGGACTCACTGAGATCACAGAACAAATCTGAAATATGTTCATTCGGGTCCAAGAGAAAAAGGAATGGTGCTGCAAGATAATTGACCATCCATTTCCACCAACTGTGCCTTGGTTACCAGCATAGAATGAAGGTGTGAGTAAGTGTGTTATTCACGGCTCTTGCCTTAACCAGTCCTCGGCGATAGTCACAAAATATCTTAAGCGAGAAGGGAAAACATTGGCTCACTCTTAGTTCTCTCTCCTTTTGGTTTTTCTCCACATTGGATTCATTCCTAGACAAGCTTTCACTAGACAGTGTCAAGGATAGCCTGTGGCAGCTTAAATCTTTATAGTTTGCAGTGTCCAAGGAAATGGAGTATTCTTTCCTAAAGCCTGGCCAGATCCTTGGGAAAGGGTCTCACTGGCCTCTAATTGGTTCCTGGGGCCATATGTGAGCCAATCACTGTGAACCTGGAGCCATCTGCTTGTATTATCCCTGAACAAAGGAAGGACAATTTCTGGAAGGAAAAGATGCAGTTGAACAGACAAAATGCTTGAATGACCGCTCTACTGAATTTATCATCTTTTAAAAATTAATGTTTCGCTACTCTAAACTTGCTGATGCAACACAAGGCAACATGCACATTCTGAGACTCGTACGAGCAGGCGTATGTTTTGATTTCTTGAGGAAGCTCTAATGGCCCTTGCCAACACACTGAATGGCAGTTTGCTTTGCGTGTTTGTTCTGTCGTGAACATAATGTGCTCATCTCTCCTCCATTTATACATCTTCGTCTTTAATTGGCCACCCGTGTTTCCCTGCCATCTTCACCTTCTCTTGTGGGACGCCAAAGAGGTAGATTTTACCCACACATACGCCCACGTAAAGACTCTAAAATCTCAGAATTCCTAATTAGCTGGCACTGCTAAAACATAAGGTTTCCAAATGGCCACAACAAAGGTGAAGAGAGGACAAAGGAATGTATGCTCTCTGGCTGCACCACACCTTTGGCCAAGTATGAGCGAGGAAGTGAAAATTGCCTTCGGGATTCGCCCCATGGTCGGTTTCTGTTGCTGAGGGTCCCCGGAGCCCTAGTGTTTCAGAATCACCCTCGCTTCCCAAAACATACTTTATATGCCACTACTGAAGCCAAAGTGTCCTGAAAAAGCGGAGAATGAAAATACCAAGAAAGCATTCAATGATTTATTTTACATTATAAAGGGACCTCATATCAATGACAATAAGGGATAATTAATTAAAGCCTTGAAAAATCATCCTTGTTCCGTGTTGTTCCACTGAATAATTTATCACCACATCATCAACCAACCCAAACACAGCAGCAGTCTATAAGAAGTAGCCTTCCAGCTTTGATTTCGCTCTCCCCACCCGGCCCACCCCCTAACCTGCACAACCGCCTACCTCCCTGTCCCCTGAATCCGGTGGCCTCCTGGACATTTTAGTGCAAATCACCGTGGTTTTTAGTAGTTCCCTTTCAAAAACTTCAATTGTTCCTAACTAGCAAAATGCAGTCCTTTCCATGGGCTTTAAGTGGCTCTGAACCACATAAAAGGGACCATGTGACTTCGTTTCTCAAGAAGGACAGAGCATCCCAAAACAGGTCCGGGGAACCCACAGAGAAGCTATTCCTGACCTCTGCGTGGCATTAAGTCACACTCCATGGCTTTGTTATTTTTGGACACTGAAATTATAGAGTTACATGCCAAGCTCTCTCTAGCAGCAGGTTAATTTAGCAATATTGGCTTCTGAGTTTCCTACTTCACCCAGCTCCCCACCTAGATGCTTCAAGGTAAGTCTGGAGCTTTAGCTCCTCCCAGGACGCCCTCCTAAGCGCAGACCACTAAAATGACACAATGCTAATATTATAAGCGAGGCAACAGCTTCTACATCAGAAGCCAACAATAAGGTTATCACCAACGAGCGACTAAATCCAGGCCACTTCCGATGTCTTTTTTTTTTTTCTCTTCCCCGCCCCACCGTTTTCAGTTTTTTACCCACACATGAGGGCATTTTAAAGGAACAAGAGATGGGGGGGGGGGGGGGGGGGGGGCGGGGGCCACAACACATTATGCAAATGTAGTAACGAATGTAAAATGATAAATTAGCAAGCAACTATTTAATTATTACTGTGACTAATTCCTGTAGATGGTGCCACGGGCTAATGAACCTGAACTTGTCCGGGGTGACTGCAGTGTGCTGTTGAAACATTTCCATTTGGTTTGTTTGCTGCTTCTGCAGCTCGGTGAAGTACAGAGCATCTGTTTAATGAGCTCCCACTTCATTACAGAGCTGCACTAGAGCCTGAGTCATTCTCCTTAAGCATGCAGGCTGTGTACTCTGCTGTTGTTTTAAAGCAAATACTAATTTATGATTACCTGTCACATTAGGCCATTGAAAATTGTACTCACACTGGCTCCCATGAGCAGAATGCTAATGAGCTGATTATGGACTATGGTGGTGTCCCTCGCTTCTAATCCGTGGACATAAATTCCAATCCCCCGACAATATGGGCTCCGTAACAATAGACGCTGTTGGAGAGGACGGGCTAGAAGGAGAAAAGGGGTGGTGAAATCATCACATGTAAATGCACAGACTCTCTCAAAGGCCGACAAACTCGGCAATGACCTAATTCAATGTGCGCGGAGCATCAGAAATACCCGTTACACTGTGTCATGTACGGAGGAAGATGAATGACTCCCTGGCTATTCACTCCCTGCCATGGTCATTATCTAATTGAAGTCTGATGCCCAGGCAAGGCGGATCCTGACACAGTGACTGCAAGCCTCTATTGTACGGAAGAAATCCCATAGATGTGTCCTAAAATGGTACTTGCAGAGAAAATTCCAATCAATAACACTTGGCCAAAATGCAGCTTTTCATTTCCAAGCCTAATATTTACCTGCAGCCTTTAGCACAATGCACTTTTACCGGTCTTTTTGTTTTCTGTCTCTCTCCGTTACAAGCATGCCATTTGCACTTTAAAATACAGCACTAAGCAAAATGCCTCATTAAGTCGGTTTTGTTTTGCTTTTTAGTTTATCCCCTATAATTTGGCTCCATAAATTAAAACTACGGGAAGATGAGATTTTGCCTTTTTATTGGCTGTCTGCTCAGTTTGTTTTTATACTCCTGACTTCATTCAGCCTGGGGACACAGTGGTTTGTTTCCCAGGCTGCTGCCCTCGGTGCACAGAGTACTACCAAGACCACTTTCTTAGAAATATGTGCACCGCTCACTTCTAAACTTATAAGTGTGTGTGCTTATATACCCAGCTCCCCACGTCCAACACGAGGCTCCACACCATGATAGAGGTGGCCAAGAAGCAGTGGCAGTTTCCCGCACACAGATAACAGTTAGTTACAGCTGCCGTGGGCAGCATCTGGGCTCTTTTCTGCAATGGAGGTCAGGAGACTCAACCAAGTCAGCCACGTGCCCTAAACAAGAATACAAACATGAGTACTTTTTTAGACATCTGCTCCCCAAGCTTGCTTGTTTGGGTTTGGTTTTTGTTTTCGTTTTGTTTGTTTTTGAAGCCCCTTTTAGAAACTTCAGCTTTCCACCTGAAAGAATTTTGAACATTTTTCTTCTCATGTTTCTATGTTTAGCTGCCCAGGACCAACAACGAGACTAACAGAATGGAAGAAAAGAAGAATAAAAAACAAATGTCTACCTTTGGTGCCAATAAGCAGGAATCGTAATCTACGTATGCCTGTACTAAGTTTCAAGCCAGCTCCTAACTAAACATTACAGACCTCCATTGCCCTGTGTCCAGCAGTTCTGAGTGATGTTTCTCTGAACAGCATGGTATTGATACCTTATCTCTTCCTCGCTACAATGAGTGGAACAGACCCTCCTCAGTAGACAGAAGGAGACCTGACTGCCCTCTGTGTCCAGCCACGATGCAAAGCTCTGACTTTGGTCTCTGCCACATTCACCTTTAGATGAAGAACAGGACAAAGGGACTGCGAAGTTTCTAGCTGTGCTATTCTATAACTCTACCTTCTTAACAGTGATTAAAGGAGCCCTAATCAGCATGGTGTCCAAGACTATTAAATTGCGAACATTAATTGTGACCACATTTCAGGTTTACTCTAATAAGATGAAACCAGCACTTCAAAATTAGCAGTGTTTCTCAGTGCACAAAGGAAGTGACGTGGCTTCTCATTTCAAATAATGCCCAATTTACACCATGGCAAACTTGACCCACTGTTCCTTAAAAGAAACCTAGTTTAATTCATCTTTGTGCTACACAAGCCTGACTCTCCCTAATTACAAATTATAAATTATTGGGCCAACTGGCATATCGCTTTTTTCGCTAATGGAGCTTGAAGAATCGAGATACCCAGTTGTTTGTTTCATTGTCTTATTACGAACACAACATTTAAAAAGTTGGGGTTATTCCAAAGAATATTTTTCAAGGTACCAACATTTAAACTGCAAAAACTGGAAGCAAATTAGTTAATTACTGTCTCCAACTGTATAGGTGCTAACAAATTCCTTTTCCTCACCTATAATGAACTCCCAGTGCTCGCCAAGACAGGGGAGGCGTGGGCAGTGATGTGGATTTTCTCTGCACAAGTAAATTGCTTTTCCTGATTTACATGGGTGGAAGGTGGAAGTGGGGAGGTAGAGTGCCTATTTACACACTGGATAATCCAATTTGCTTATTTTGCAAAACAGTTTCTTTCCCCTTATTGGCAGCACAAAGCATTATGCGGGCTCTCAACTGGCCTGAAAAAAGATAGGCTACAAGGGCACACAATAACTGTGCTCAATTTAGTAAATGCAGCAAGGTTCACTGAAAAAGAAGGCGGTCAAACAACATGGGGAGAAACATTTGGTTTTATGCTTGGAAGAGGTCTATGCATTAAATACCCACAACAAAGACTAACGGGGAGTAGAAATCTTCGGGAGAGGTGAAAAAAACAGGAGAGATTCTAAGTTTCCACTTGGGGTCTCTTAGGAGACTTGCCAAAGACGATTTTGCACATTTGCCCAGTTCCCAAAAGTCATTCTTTGGAGGCTGGAAGAGAGCTCATGGCTGTTAAATATTCTTTCATGAGATGAGTCAGATAAAATAGATCCAGATGAAAATGTAGGAATACACACGTCCATAAATCAATACCAAAGGCGTTTCGAAACAGCTGAGCAAGACCAACTGGAAAACGAGGGTGTGAAGGAGCGATGGAGCGAGGCTTTTGGATGGGGGGGGACTTCTCACTGGACTTCGTTTTCTTGTTTTCCATAGCTCCTCAGAGAGGTCACATGCAAAATCCTTCTATGAGCATTAAACCCCTGCTTGCACACTGCAGTAGGCTGGGAAAGAGGACTGCACCTCATCGAAATGTGATTTTCATGAGAAAGGGAGATCTGAAATGGTCCAGTCGGGTACACAGAGCTTCTACGCGGGCAGTGACCCTGCCGTCAGGGAGTCACCATCATACCAGCCAAAGCAGCCACAAAGACAAGAAGAGAAACCGGAATGTGCAAAGACAAAAGTGACCAGCATCTCCGCTCCCGGAGGGACCCTCTAAATAGCATGCGATGGCAACGCTCTAGCTTTCCTGACCATCACGAGATCCTGTGAATAAGGAAAGTGACAAGCAAAACTAATTGGAAGCGGCAGTTGATGAACATCCGCCCATGTTAAGAGCCACCACCAAGTGTTTCCTTTCCCAAGGCTCTTGGGAACTAGCTGGGCTCTGGTACAGGCTTCTCGTTGATGAGGGCGACTCTGATCAGAGAGCATGTGGGTCCACGCTCTCACCCACGGGCACGCCATTACGAAGCAGAGCACTAACCGAACTCTGCCATTGTATGTTCCTTCTGGATACATGTCTTATTATCTAACATGCTCACGTGTAAGTCAAAATGCCAAAGTTTGAGAGTCTACTCAACCTTGTTTTGTGATCCAGTACTTCCTGGGAATAAAGCTTGCAGAATGTGACAACAGACCTGGCCCTTGGAAATGAATACGAAAGCAGGTGTAGAGATTTAGCCAGGGTGCACTGGAAGGCTGCAGAAAACGTCACATGTTCCTTGAAACCCACCGCCCCACCCTCCCTCTTTGCTTTGCACACACTCAGAGTTCTTGCTGATGTCAGAGGTAAAAAGCAACATTTGCAGACTGCAGGCTTCTCCCGCTGTTAGGTTGGCACCTCCTGCCTGGCAGCCTGGAGAACATCCAGGCGTTATGTGGTTGACATTGGCCAGCCTCCACGCCCCAATCCAAGCCCAACTGTACTGGGGTCAACAGCAAGGGCATCCCTTATCATTTTACCGCGATGAGGACCCTTTGGCTCCTTAAGTTTTCTTATATTATTACTCGGAGCAGTAGCCACACGAGCAGAAAGAGAGGGAAAAAGCAGGAGGCTTCACAAGAGATAAGGAATAACCGGGGCTGTCAAGGAGGGAGAGAGAGTCAACAGGGAGAGCCCGGGGAAGTCATTCTTATTCCAAGTGTTGAGACATGCCGAAGTAATGATCCTGGCCACATGTTAGCAAAACATTAGAAACACTTTAGTAAGCAAATGATTTAATTACAGCCTTCTCGGAGGCAGTTTATGTTGCTCGACCCCTGACCTTTCCTATTGCGGTCCCTCAACTCAGCCTGGGATTCACGCTTCCTATTCTTGTCACAGAATCTCTCCATCTTGTACCATTTAATATAGTGTGCTCCAGGTGTTCTGTGGTGAATGAATAGTTATATTACTACCTGTCAGACACAATCACACTCTATTCATCATTCTCGGCTGGCTGCATGAAGCCCAGCTTCCAGCAGCTCCCTCTCTATTTCCTTGTTCAAACGTCTGCAGTGCTTTGGGCCCATCTGTCAAGACTGTCATTTAGAGGGAAAACAGTATCAGCGCTTTAAATATATGGAGTTCTCTATTGAAACAGTGCTGTGATTGAACTGTCAGTGTTCTCTGTATCCAGACAGTAATTCACGACTGGTCAGGGTTCCGTGGACGTTGCTATTACTACGGGGACCCTCTAGGGTCACACGGAGGGTTTTTGCTTTACAGTTGGGTCTATAAATAGTGCAATTAACCTTTCGAGAATTACAAAATGCTCTCAAATTCTCTCTACATGTGCTTCGTGCTTGCATGCTTTAGAGCAACCAGAAGATGAAGGAGAAGGGAAAAAAAAGTATGAAATTGCTGAAATACGTGCCATATGAGTGGAAATATATATATTGTTTGGAAAGCAAGCATTTGAAATCCGTGAATGTATTTTAAGCCCCCGTTTGCTGTTTTGGAGCAAGATAACATATGCTGAGATTTCTGAAATGAAAAGGTTTCTGCATCTGAAATAAAATATGATGGATGTGAATGAAAGGGCTTCTGTTCAGCCTTATGGGAAGGAAGGGAAGGTTTTCAGTTCTCCAAATTGTTACCTTTCCAAAACAGAGGCGTCCTCACGGCTTCCAGCCCCAGTTTCTCGAGCAGAACACCTGCATTCCCGACCAAACTGGGAGAAAACGCTGCCAGGAGCCAACCGCTATCTCTAATCTTAGAACACAATCCCCAAAGCAAGAGAATTTTGGATGCTGATCAGGCGGCCTTCAGATGACTTTGCTGCATTTGAAAGCTCCAATCACTGAAAGGCTTTATCATTTCTTCTTCAAGAAATCCAAGCACTTTCTAAAAGAAGCACAGAGGGGCGAGTGGAGCCCAAAAGACAGTCCCAAAGTCCCCATCTCCCCTTTCTGCAAATCCTAGTCTGTCAGGCCACCACCCCGCTTCCTTTCTGGAAACCCAGATGGTAAGACAAGCCTTTTCAGGATCTCTCTACAGACACACTTAAGCGTGTGTATCTCGTACACTCACATTTAAGGGACTCCGAGTAGCCACTCGGATGGTTGCTGGATCAGGGCACTGGGTTTTGTTCTGTATCCCAGGGATGTGTCCTAACACAAGACTGGATGGGGCCGCATGGATGCCTCGCAGTGGAGTGTATGATAGGCTTTCGCTTCTGAGGGATCATTTCAGCACCAAGAGCTTGGTTTTGTTTTGCTGTGTGCCACGTTGCTCCCTGGCAAAGCCAACGGGCATTTTTAATTTGTGAACCAAGATGCTGTAGCTAAAAACAACCATTGATTTCTGTCACTGCACTTGTCTTGCTTCAAAGGTAATTTTACCCTGTCTCTTTCTTTAAGGGAAAAGAAGAGAAGTGATGAGGGGAGAGGGGGTGGGGCGGGGAGTTTCAGCAGAGGAGAGCCACACCCCTAGCAACTGGTCCTTGAGGACACCTACTTATGCGGGCCATCCCCTAAAAGCAAAGGAACACGTCATTTTCTTAAACATCCTCATCACCAAAGAAGTGGGATTGCAGCCGTATTTCAGCTAGCTGCCAGGCTTGCAGGAGGCAGAGAGAAGAGTAGAGAGGTATAAACCTTCCCATTAGAGCTATTTTCTGGGACTGGCTCTCATCCCAATCCACAGCTCTGCAGAAGTAAAAGCCTTCGCTTATCACAGCCACGGAACACGGATAATTAAGAGCTAATTTCTTCCAGTTAGGGTGCACTTTCCTTTGGGGAGACAATCATAAAAGGCAGACAGAGGTGCCCAAGAACCCCGTGTTGTCACTGTTGTCATCTTCTGTGACTGCGCCCTTCTCTTCCTGCCCTCAGTTGGAAAGCAAAAAAAACAAAAAACCACACACACACAACACCTTGCTTATTATAGAAACAGAATAAGTGGGGGTCTCATCCCATTAACTGTCATATTACCAGGCTCCATGCCATCCCATTGGAGCTTCACTGAGCATTCAGAACTGCTTAATTATGTACAGTAAAGGCAGTCTGCTGAGACTTCCCTTCTTGATTAATATGGGAGGGGGAGGGGAGGTGAAGGGTCACCTCCAAGGCTTCCTGGTGCCTCGCGTGGAACTGACTCAGTGTGACAAAGGCTTTTGTGAGTTTCGAAATAAATTAAAGCGCCTTGGGAAGGCAAGAGGCTCGCCATCAAGGGATAAGGCCACTTTTGATTCTGCAGGCTCACAACAGATATTCCCCGCTCTGTGTTGGCGTTAAACTGTACAGTGCATTCCTTATAAATTATACCACCCCATGTTAATTATAGTGTGCTGACAGTGCTTGTCATTACCAAGCCTGCTACAGGCTTTGTGCACTCGGATTTTAATAGCTGTTTGTTCTGAGGAATGTGGCAGAGCAGTCTAAGTGGCTGAGCGGGGTCACTGCGAACATCCCTCTCTCACACTGCCTCTATTTTTGCAACCATAATCCCTCCTCTCGGGGGGGCCCCCCCGCGCCCGTCCCCTCCCCCCAGTCGGGCAGATGTATAGGTTACAGTCTAGAAATGCCAGGGCATTCACTGAGGCTCAATAAGCTGAGGCCCACTTTGTGCTTTGCTCATTGTCGGCCTTTCAAAGCCCCCAGCTGAAATGCTCTTTTCTCTTTTGTCCAACCTCTGCAGAAAAACAGAACTGCTCTCATCTGAGGGGAAAGTTGGAGGGTCCTTCCCCAAAGTCTAATTCAGCAGTCTCCCCTCGGGCAGGAAGCTCTGTATTCCTGTGTGACAGCCTGTGAAGGAAGAGGCTACAAATTCGGAAGCCAAGTCATGACCCCGGCTTCTCTTCTCCCCCTGCCCCCCAATGAAGTTTCTGTGTCCTACAGATTTTTCTAGAATCACCAACA